TCGGGGGGCAAGAACTTAAATAGACCTCTAATGGTAATTAGAAATGGGATCTGCCCCAAAGAACCAAAAATGTCGGCAATATCGGCACAGGTTCGCCGATTTCGACAAAAGAAAAGGCAGCTCAATAGGGGTACATCTGCCCCGAGTATCTCCCACCATTGGTGACAGGCGGGTGGCCAGGACCATGACGTCACCGGCACCCCATATCCGATGAAAGTTATGGGATGACTTCCAGTGCGCGCTCGTCCTGTCTTTTTCTCAAAATCTTCTCCCGCGCCTGGAGGAATGAGGGGTAACACCAGGGTGAGGGTACATTGCCCAGAAACATCCCTTTCGAATACATTGTTAAACATATGAAGATGCCCCCCACCATACCTCAAAAAACATTGGATGACGAATTATCAAAATGCCAAGGCTCGTAGGGGAATCACGCCGGGACAGTATATAAAGGGCGTTTTTTCGCCAAGTAAAGTCATTTCAAATTAAATCTTCGACTCCAAATCTTCAAGTGGTACCCTGCTCGTCATCCAATTCAACTCTCCAGGCCCAGTCTGCAAGGGAGCAACTCTGCAGGACCACCATCTGACGTCACCACTGGGAATAGTCCGAGCGTACAACTCGACTTTTCTTGCAGCCCCAGCTAGAGTGCGCAACTTTAATCACAACCAACGGGTCCAAAGTAAAATTTTGACTCCTGGTTATCAATGAGGGGCCCTGCTCATTATTAAAGCTGACCCTTCCAGATCCGTCTGTTGGGAAGCAGCTCTGCAGTATGCCTACCCTCATCGCTACTAGTTCGAGTGGATAACTCAATTTTCTGCACTGCGTCAGATCGACTGCATTTCTTCAAGCCGGCACCGACCTGGTAAATCGCTCAGCACACGACTGAGCCCATCCTGAATGGACAGCTTAGGGAATCTTCTCGTCAAGCCAGCGTCGACCTGATAAATCTCTCAGCGGACAACTGAGTTCATCCCGAGCGTTCAGCCGAGGATATTTCTTCAAGTCAGCGTCGACCTGGTAAATTACTCAGCGTACAACTGACGTTACCCCGATTGTGCAGCTCTAGGATTTTTCTACGCTTAGCAACATAAAGCTAGGGAATAACCAAGTTTTGCCTGAGTGGACAACTCAGGTCTATCAACACCACCAACACCTGCTGATCAGCTGATCTGGTGGAACCAGATCATCATCACCAGCGCCAGAGAAGCGTCTTTTAGCGTTTCCAACTCCATCAGTGCTAGAAGATCTAGCATACTTTTGGAGTTCTCCGAAATTCACTACGAAGAGAAGGCACCAAGAGGTTGCCCCTTGCCTCCTGCCGTTGGATATACGATTGTATTTTCAGGACGAAAAGAATTTTATAGATTTTCCAATCTGTAAACAAGATGAGATAGAAATTTTTCGAAAAATTTATTACATATTCTCTTCTTGCGCTTAAAACTAAATCATTAACTGCAAAATTCGTTGGAAAAATCAGCGGATAAGAACAGCTGATGAGTGTTGTTTCCCAGGAGAATTTCTCAGAAAGTTTTCGAAAATTTCTCTCATTTTTCTCTACTGCCAATGCCCAATAGTTATTGATTATGCACGATGCTAAACTAAATGCTCTCTTCTTACTAGATAAATACATTTAGAGATCCTAGGGTTAGATGCGAGTCAATTCTTATGGAACTAGTGTTCCGTTGTAACACTTGTGAGACACGCGCACATGCATCGACAATCGACAGTGACGGCATCTCGCGGATTCCGTTAGCGTCGCTGCATGTGCGCGTGCCAATCGGGAGCGGATTTCTCCTCTAGAAGTGAGTTGATAGTGAGTTAACTCGAACACGTTGGCCAGAAGCAAACGAAAAAACCTCCATCATAAAAACATAAAAATACATCATCATCACCTCAAATCAACTGAACAAAATCAAAGTGATTGTCACAAATCAACAATTAATAAAACTAGTGCACTGGTAGTGAATAACTTACGGCAAGGCGACCGAAACCTCCCAATATTCACATAAACTCAACCGGCACAAAATCCCACGATTTTGTGTCTCCACGTGGCACAGAAGCCACGATCCCCAGGACGCAAACTCCTCAATTGCACCTGACAGCCTGAACCGATAGAATAAGTGTTCATGTTTTGTTTAGTAATTTAAGGCGAAAACGAGAGTTTCAATCTCTTTTGTGTGTGTGCATGTCCGTGGGAGAAAAATATCATTCGCAGTCGGATAATCGAACTGTAACTGAAAATAAATTGGGTTTTTTATGCCGACAGGCTTTTTCCCAAAAAATATCCGTGTTATCATTCATTCGCAATCCAAGTTCATTACAACTTTCATACCACCTAGGGTATGAAAGTATTTGACAACTTTTCATGGTGCCTCCTGTGAGGTTAGAGCTCACATTTCTAATTGACGACTGCGAGTGATGTGTATATAGGCTTTATAACTCTCACAAAATTAGTCCTCTACAAAACATCACGTCACATTACAACAATCATCAATTATCAGCCCGGATCCAGGACTCAGACGTTCAACAGAACTCCTCGTACAGGAGCAGAAAATAAGAGATAAGTATCCTATATTCGTACAACATATCATTTTGTTATTTAGCTACCATCAATCAACAATTTTTCAACAAATTCAATAATTTGAAAGATCGCATTTCACGCATGCGCCAAACATCGCATTTGTGGAACACGTCGTTTGGGCGCGCAAATTTAAATTCAAACTTTATCAACAAAATTTACTTTTAGCAAGACAAAGTCTTTTTCACCTCGCAAATACAGTTCTTATTAAGTACCACAAAACCGATCCGCATACTGGACCAAAATCTTTCCAAATTGTTGACCATAAAATAAAAAAATGGAACATTCCACAGAAGAGAGAAAACGCATCGCCTACCTTCAACAACGTTTAAATTCTTTCACGAATAAGGTACAAAAATTAGAACAATACCTGGAACGCCTAAACGTTGACGCCACAAATGCGAAAATGCGCTTGGACAGTTTGTCGGCAATATACAAGAACGCATTACAATATAGCGAAGAATTGACCCTACTCCTGCCTGGCGATCCTCTCAATGACGCGTTTCTCGACATCGAATCCCGGTATTTCGAAGCAGCTAGTTCAGTCACAAAATTGCAACAGGTGGAGCCAATGTTGAATGCCACCATAAATCCTAACAACATCACGATTACTGAGCGTCAAGACTTACCCAAGCTTCCGAAAATCCGAATCCCAGTTTTTGACGGCAAACGCGAAAATTGGGCCACCTACAAAAACAAATTCATTGCTCTGATCCACTCTCGCACTGACATCAGTGATGCTGTGAAATGTAGCCAGCTCTTTGATTCTCTCACCGGTCAGGCTCTGGCAAAGGTCGACCAATTTGATCCCAGTGAAAAAGATTATATCAAGGCTTGGCAGACCCTTTTAGATTTTTACGATCACAAACGAATAGTAGCTGTGGAACATCTCAACGCCATTCTCGACCTTCCTCAGGTCACAAAAGCATCCGCCGATGATCTAGCAGCATTGCTAGACAAAGCTCGTCAGCATCTTCACATTCTGGATGGGCTGGGTGCCCGATCTGGCGATGATTTAGTTGTCCGCATCATTGAAAGATGTCTTCCTCCAGTCATAAGACGAAGGTGGCAGGATAAGCTCGAAATGGACGAACTTCCGAAGTTAGAAGATCTCCTCAAATTTATTCAGACAGCCATTTTCAAACAGCAAGCGGTCGATTATTCCTCTACACCCAGCAAGTCACCAAATCCAAGGAAAAGTTCAGCAGAGAGTTTTTTGCAACCGTCCAACAAAGCTGCCAAGACAACTTCCCACTCATTCGTCACATCATCCAGTTCCAATTCCTCGTCAGTCAATCATTCTGCACCTTTGGTCTGTCCAAGTTGTAGAGACACCCACCGCCTCTTCAAATGCCCTACATTCAACCAGCTAAGCATCCAAGATCGATGGAACTTCGTGAAGAACATCAGAGCGTGCCAGAATTGTCTGTGGGTACATCCACTGCCATGCAAGAGTGAAAGGCGCTGCAAGAAATGCAACCGTACTCATCATACTCTATTGCACAATGAGAAATCTTCTCATCATCCAAAACTCAAAGAAACAACAACATCCACTTCCAGTGGCAGTCAGCAATGACTAGCACGCCCAACACACAAGATCAAGGCATTCCCTTCGGATTCTCAACTGATGACCACAGCAGTGATCTCTGTCAAAAATCATCGAGGCAACCTAGTCACAGCACGAGCACTTCTAGATTCGTGCTCTACAGTCAACTTAATGACAGAACGATTTGCTAATTGCTTACATTTATCCACTAACAACTGCTCAGTCAACATTGGAGCAGTCGACGGTCTACACACGGTTTCAAAAAAATACATTCAAGCATTCATTCACTCAAATCATGGTAATTTCCAACTCCAATTAAACTTTTTACTAGTGCCAAAGATTGCAGATACAGTGCCTAATGACAGGTTCCCTCGAAATCACTTCAACATCCCAAAGAACCTCCAACTCGCAGATCCTCAGTTTCATTTACCAAGATCAGTCGACATTTTGTTGGCCTCTAACATTGCATTAACCGTCTTATCAGTTGGACAAATCAAACTTGTTCACGGAAATTCTAGTATCATTCTTCAGAAAACCCGGTTGGGTTGGATTGTCGCCGGGGGATGCGAACTGATAACCCATTCAGCGGCTGCACACTGCAATGTTGTCAAACTCGACAAATTAATCGAACGTTTTTGGGTCATCGAAGACTTCGATCATGAACTAGTCCGATCTCGCGATGAGATCTCGTGCGAACAGCATTATGTGACCCACACCAAACGCGACGTCACTGGCCGGTATGTGGTTCGTCTTCCTTTCCGAGACTCGAAATTCAATTTAGGGGAATCTCGTAGTCAAGCTCTCAAACGTTTCGCTTTTTTAGATCGAAAACTATCATTAAATCCCTTACTGAAAGCCGAGTATATTCGAGTAATGGAAGAGTACATTTCCCTTGGTCACATGACTCTTTGTGACGAAACCGAGGACGGGTATTATCTTCCACACCACGCCGTTATCAAGGAATCCAGCGCGACGACTAAGGTTCGTGTAGTTTTTGACGCGTCAGCTAAAACGTCCACCGGCATTTTGCTTAATGATACTCTACTAGTTGGGCCCACAATTCAAAACACCATATTTGAACAGATTCTTCGTTTTCGCACACATCATTATGTGAGCACGGCGGACATTGAGAAAATGTACCGCCAAATCCTCATTCCTCCAGAAGATCGACAATTTCAAAAGGTACTATGGATTCATCAAGGAAAACTTCGAACTTTCCAACTCAATACGGTGACATTTGGGACAGCGGCCGCCCCATTTCTCGCCGTTCGTACCATGCAACAACTTGCTCGTGATGAAGCACATGATTTTCCTCGCGCTAGTAAACTGCTCCTCCGCGATTTTTATGTCGACGATTTTGTGTCCGGTGGAAAGTCATTAGCTGAACTTTTGAGCATTCGGGATGAAATGATAGCTTTACTATCGCGTGGTGGTTTTGTCATTCGCCAATGGGCATCGAATCACAGCTCAGTTCTGGACTCAATCGACAAGAGGTTCTTCGATCTTGATTGTTTAATTAAAAACGATCCAATCCAAAAAACCCTCGGTATTATCTGGGACGCGGAAAATGATTTATTGCAATATACTTCAAATCGCGTTGACCCCAGCACTGTGGCAACAAAACGCACACTCCTCTCACAGCTATCGAAGATTTTTGATCCGCTCGGTCTACTTGGCCCCATTTCTCTATTTGCGAAGGTCTTGATTCAAGAGTGTTGGAAAGCAAAAATCACCTGGGATGAATCTCTTCCTCAAGACATCCACACTAAATGGAGTCATCTAGCACATCAACTACCCAAGCTACAGGATGTATCATTTCCTCGCCAAATCTTCATACTAAATCCGTCTAGATTAGAAATCCACAGGTTTTGCGATGCCTCAATCCATGGTTATGGAGCTTGTCTGTATGCCAAGTCTCATAATTCCCAAGGTGATGTATCAATCCGATTGATCTGCAGTAAATCCCGAGTGGCTCCCCTGAGTGGAGTCACTATCCCTCGCTTAGAACTTTGCGCAGCCACCATCCTTAAAAAACTCTATCTAGAAACCAAATCCCAGTTTGGCTCCCCCATCGATCAAGTCTATTTTTGGTCCGATTCCACCATCGTTCTCTGTTGGCTCAAGAAAGCCCTTCACCTTTTGCGAACCTTTGAATCCAACCGGGTGGCAGATCTCCAAACGTTGGGAGATCAAGTCATCTGGCGACACGTCCGATCGGAGGACAACCCAGCTGATGCCCTATCTCGAGGACAACTCCCATTCGATTTCACACAAAATTCTCTCTGGACTTCAGGTCCTCCCTGGTTGACCCTCAGTCACTCCCAATGGCCACAATTGATCATACCTTCGACAACTCAGGTTCCTGGATTGAAAAAGTCCATTTGTTTATTGACGAACGCGTCCCCTGAACCCATTTATGCTCATTTTTCAAATTTCGAACGATGTGCTAGAGTCGTGGCCTACATCCTACGCTGGAAGAATACAACAGCTCCGCGAATTCGTCCACTCTCTGTCGAGGAAATCCACGAAGCTGAAGATCGCATCATCATGATCGTTCAACAGGAACGATTTTCCATGGAACTTCAAAGGCTGTCAAAGCAGCAATCCTTAGAAAACTCAGCGCAATATTATAAGAAAGGGACTCCTTTTGACAGACTACATCCCTTCATCGACAACAAGGGAATTCTTCGTGTAGGTGGACGACTTAAAAAATCGGAACTTTCCTATAACCAGAAACATGCCATTCTCTTACCAACTAAGCACCCTGTGACGGACATGATCATTAGACAGGTCCATCAATCCAATCTCCACGCCGGGATACAAAGTACACTTCATGCTAGTCGAACGAAATTTTGGATCTTAAACGGAAAGGACCAAATCAGAAAAGTTATCCACCGATGTGTTGTTTGCATTCGTCAAAGGCCCAAACTAATTCATGCTCAGATGGCCGACTTGCCTGAAGCAAGAGTAAAGGAAGCCCCAGCTTTTTCTCGTACCGGCGTCGACTTCTTCGGTCCAATCTTAATCAAGGAAAAGAAAGATCGAAATCGATCATTCCTTAAAGCTTATGGTTGTGTATTCGTTTGCATGGTCTCTAAAGCCGTACACATTGAGCTCGTCACGGCTCTTTCGTCGGAAGGCTTTCTCTCGGCTTTTCGACGTTTCGTTAGTCGCAGGGGAGTCCCCGACGATGTCTACTCTGACAACGGCACGAACTTTGTTGGAGCGAATAGAGAACTCAATGACTTGTATGAACTCATCTCCAGTCAAGAATTCAAAGAAAACATCAGTAATCACGCACTGTCCAGGCGCATCAAATGGCATTTCAATCCACCACTATCTCCACATTTTGGGGGGATCTGGGAAGCGGCCGTAAAAAGTTTCAACCATCATTTAAAACGCGTCTTAAAGGATCACAAGTTGACTTATGAGCAACTCAACACCTTGCTCATCGAAATTGAAACGATATTAAACTCGCGACCTTTATGTACTCTTTCGGCCGATCCCAATGATCCCCTCGCAATCACACCGGCACATCTGCTAATCGGCGGATCCTTTAACGCTCTGCCTGAAAAATCTTTACTTCCAGTTGCAGATAATCGTCTGTCTACTTTCCACTTCATCACCAAGGCCAGACAAGATTTCTGGAAGACATGGAATAAGGAATATCTCCATGAACTCCAAGTTCGGCATAAGTGGCAGGACTCCACCGCCGAGTTGAAGGTGGGCTCTGTGGTGATCCTCATGGATGATTTAAGCATCTGTACACGATGGCCTCTGGGTGTAATCACCGAAATCTTTCCGGGAAGCGATGGCATCGCTCGAGTTGCATCCATAAAAACTGCTAGTGGCATCTACAAACGCAACATTACGCGTCTCTGTCTCTTACCGATAACGTAGTTGTAATTCTTTATTTTAGGAACTATTTTTGTGTGAAATTCTTCACCCTGCTCAACAACATCAGACAATATTGTTTCGCAGCTTCCCCCCTGAGCATGTTCCGTCGTAACACTTGTGAGACACGCGCACATGCATCGACAATCGACAGTGACGGCATCTCGCGGATTCCGTTAGCGTCGCTGCATGTGCGCGTGCCAATC